TTTGGTCTTCGACCGTTATGGATCATGACCAGTATTCCTGTATTTATATTTTTAATTTGTAGTCCTTTTGTCACTAGATAATTTGATTATTTTCAAAAGAACTTTATCCTTTTGCTTTTTCAATAATAAAAATTAATCTGAATTCATTTTTAAGAGACGCTTTTAAAACTTTAAAATTCCTTTTTATACAGAAGATGGGGAAAACTATTTTAAAAGAAGTTGTTTTGCACATTTAAGAATCATAAATCAGCTTGTCAACAAAAAATCATGTTTAACAATTTCAAGGTCCCATAAATTTGCAAATACTATTGAAAATATTTTCATAAAACTCGATATGGAAAAAGAAATGTGCATCGATTTCTCCCGTATTCAATCACGTTATGTCATAATAAAAAGAAAACAAAAAATTTGAGCAAATAAATGTGGTAAAAAAGTAGAATGTTGTAGTGCTAAATAAGACGTGATAATTTAAATGATAAAATAAAAGCAATATAGAACTTAACACAATTGCAATTAAAAATCTTCTGTTCAATTTTAGTAGTTATTTTCAGTAATCATTCAAGCAGTAATTAATAAAACATAAAAGGAAATAATGCTTATAATCCTGCATATAAAATTATTTTATCCACTAATATAGACGTGCTGAAGGCGATCTCCCATTCCATCTTCGTCTTTCTTTTTATGTTTTTAACAAATTACAGAAATAATGCTCATAATCCTGCATGCATTGAACTTGAATGGTTTCTTACTTGTATGTATTCGATTATGCTGATTCAGACTGTTACGGTAATTTTTTTAGGGTATACATCGCACTTGAACGATTTCTCTCCTATGTATGTTTATCAAGACTGCTGCGCTGATTAATTCCGAAGCATCAATTTAAACAATTTCTCATTTGCATATGCTCGATTATATTTATTTAGACCCAGTTCATTTATATCTGCAACCTGTATCTATTTTAAATACTCTACGACAGTCATGGAATTCACTACTCTTTCGCTACATTTTATATTATTCACGTCCTATTTTTTTACGATTAGATAATTTGATTTTCTTTTCAAAGAACCTTATGCTTATACTTTTGTTTTCTGTGCATATTACTCTTTTATTGAAAAAGTTCATTAATCTAAGTCCATTTATATGAAATGTCCTAAAACCTTTAAAATTCTTTTTTTTACGTCAATGCGTCGCACATTTAAGAATCACAAATCAGCTTATCAACACAAAAGTTATGCTCAACAACTTCAAAGTTTCGTAAATTTACAAGTATTACTGAGAATGTTCTCGTAAAACTCGGTATGGAAAGAAGGAGTGTGCGTCTATTTCCCTCATATTCAACTACAGCATGCGATAGTTCCAGCTGATTGGCTGCAAAAAGTATATGAGGAAATGATTCAATAATAAATGGGTCTCGATCTACGAATGGAAATCCATCTACAGTATCCGGAATAGTCGGTGCCAAGTGTTGCCAGTCTAGAATTTTGCTGAGCAGTGCAATATCATCTAATTTCTTCGTAAAACGCTTCAGATCAGACAAACACTCGCCTAAAAGAATTTGTTCGCAAGTATGGTTGAAATGACATCCGACTTTGCAATACCATGACTTACGTAATTTTTAAAGTTGTATAAATTTTATATCATTTCATATGAAATAAGGATATAGTGATGGCGACACGAGCAACATTTTCCTGTCAATACACAATTGTATATATGTAAAAATTTTATTTATAGGAAAGTTAAACAAACCAAATTCTAACATCATTTTATTTAGTCAATGAGATTAGTAGCAAAAGTTAAAAACTATTGCTAAATTTATAACTTCTGATTTCACTCACCAGATGTCCCCATAATATGAATTCCTTCCAAGCTGAACTGATAGGGATTGGTTACAAGATTGAGCATCTTCCCGTGTTTTGAACCCATTTGAAATACTGCACGATGAATGGGTTGCTGAGGCATTAGATAAGTAGATGGATCACCCAAGCCTGGCATAACATCAACCTCCAGCAAACTCTGAAACATTTTGTGAATAGAATTTTTCTTAACTTTATGATTTTACTCAAGTTAATTTTTTGTAAACAAACCAATAGAATCAAAACGAATGCATTTTCCAATATATATTTATCAAAATACTTGAATAATTGACAAGAACATATTCAACTTACAGATATCTTTGATAAAAATTTATCCATGTGTGCTATGCATTCAATGTTTGGGCATTCCTCATTTTTAATCAGATAACGAGCGGCCGTTGTAAATTCTCTTCCCTATAAATAAAAATAGCAAGGTAAATTTTAGAAATACAAATTAATATTCATAATGGAATATATTTTATATATTAGGATTAAATAATTAATATAAAACCATTTAAAACATGTAGCTCACCTGTTCCGTGATAGCAACACTTTCTCCGGCTACTACCAGTCGTATTATTCTTTCCACCATATCACGTTCCTTAAAGTATTTCATTTCTGCGACAGCTCTTTTTTCATTTATCAGAATAAAAATACTCAATTTAAATTTTCAACTAAGAATTTTTAACGAATTAAGAAAAACTTACAACTTTCATTCGTCAGTTATTTTGTTGAGTCCTACATAAGTAGAAAATGGTAGTGAACAGAAATGTATATCAAGGAGTACTGGAATACGAAATGAACTCTTTGTTTACACCTATTCTTCATTCTCACTAAGGTGCAAATAATGAAACTTGAACATTTAAAAATTATTTCCAAGTTCCATCAATATGCATATCATAGAAATGATTTTAAAACATGTAAACCGTTTCGGATAGCGGTAGCAAGCCACAAAGCCATTTCTGTAATAAATCAAGAGCAAATATCTTTTCAGCGTCTTTGTCAGCCTGGCCAGTAAATGAGAATCCTGAGACGAACATAACATATCTTAAAGAAATACGACAAGATGATCTAAGTATATAGCCACATCATACCAGACATTGGATAAAATCTTTCCAGTAAGAAAATTTTTTCTAAGAGAAAGAAAATTCGAATTATTTACTACATTAGAGGAAAGACGAAACCACTCACTTTTAAAAGATGAAGTAGAATATATTTACTACGAAAAATAAGACTGCCCGCTATAGTTGTCGTTTCTTCAGATGTAAATCGAAACATAAAACTACCTGTCATCATTTAAAATTGGATATGTTGGCTGTGGTGCTTTGGAAGGCCAAATCACCTGACTGACTTCAAAGATTTCATTATCAAGTTGTACACCATATATACCAACCACGCATCCTGTAGCAAACTCGTCCATATCAAAATCACCAGAAAGACGTACAATTTGGTCATCATCTTCAAATTCCACAAAATCTTCTTCACCTATTAATCTATTATCAAGAATTACTTCTGCGTCAAAGTCGAGAAAATTTTAAGCTTATGTGGAGTTCATTAAAATCAACCAACTTACTTGTCTTCGGCAACTGGTTGTGGAAGGATAAGCTGTTCTTCCGCAAGATTACGAAGAATGCTTGGTCTTAATTTAACACGTTTTATTATTGTACCAATGACCAAAATCTTACCATCTTTTTAGCTTTTGTAAGTCGACATGCTTCAATATTACTGCCTAAAAATTAATTAACATCACTTCGCACTCCTTTTCAGCTCAAAATTCGTCAAGCAGAAAGAGATAACAGCTAATTCGTTCTGCTTATTTTGTCATTTGGTGGACTATTTCATTAATTCAAATTTTTTCAATAACAATTAGACGAATAAAATGTTACCAATTCCAGTCTTAATATAATAATTTATCATTATTTTTTAAAACTGCTACTGATATTTATTTAAAATTTTAACAATGCGCGGGAAATTGGTACTATTTTCGTTTTTTCATCTGTATAAAATGATACCAAGCTGCAGCCTCGAATTAAAAATAATTCGTTCTCGCAATAATTTAACTCTTGCTCGATATATATGATAATACTGTCGATGAAAACATTCCGCTTCGATGTCTTTCTTTCCGATTAGATATTTATCCGATAAATTTTGATAATGCATCGAATGACGCCGGCGTTGATTCATTTCCTAGGAACATATTTTGAAAAAAAAGGACTTGATAGAACTTTAAAAGTATTATTCAAAAGTTCTAAAATATACGAAAATATACAGAAATATACAGAAATAACGTAAAAGAGCCGAAAAAGTCAAATAACTTATACCAACAAATGCCAGAAGCAAGCTGTCGTTTCAAGATTCCCGCATTTCTGTTAATCATTTCGAATTTCCAACATTTCATTGCAGCTAAATATTCTCATCATTATCATTTTATCATTATTAGTATATTAATATTTTATGCATTTATTCATATTATGACTTATTTCATTCCTTCTCTAGATATTTTTTCCACTAATATGGTATTTAAATGAAACGAAATGATAAGTACATATTTACATTATAATATTTTCTCAATAACATATTTACATTCATATTTGTATAGATTTATATAGATATACTATTAAATATATTTTATAGAAAAACATTCAAAAATTTTATAACCTTAATAGGAAACAAAGAAGTGATAATTTGTTAGTTTAGTGTTCATTCTCTCTAACTTGAGCAATGCATTGTCTCGTGAAATGAAAGTTTCAATGAATGAGCAATCAATTTATATAACACTATTACGTAGAGAATAACCATTCTAATAGAAGCAACAGTAATAATAACATTATTAGTTTGATATATATGTGTATATGTATATGATAAGATTATGCGAAAGCAAATCAAATAATGGTATATATAAATCGAATAAATGAAATGCTCCGTTGTATATTTGGAATTTATGTTATATTTGATATAGAAATTTTAAATTTAATTTTTATAATTGTTGTTGATAAGCGAAAGAAAATAAAAAATATATTGAATGGAAATGTCATTGATAAATAAAAATGGATGAATGAACGAATGAATAAATAACACATTAATATATTATATGGTAATAGTAAAGATAATATTATTGTTTAATATATTATATAATGAATTATTATTCTTTATTTTCTTATATATCTCCCTGATTGATTCTGTCGACGGTTATAACCATGTATATCTAAGTTTAAATAAACCTATAATGGTGAAACCGCGAACGGCTCATTATAACAGCTATAATGTACTTGATGTTGATTATCCAACTTGGATAACTGTGGCAATTCTAGAGCTAATACATGCACCAAAGCTCCGACTTTTTGAACGAGCGCATCTATTAGATTAAAACCAATCGGAACAAATTTGATTTGATCCGTTAATTTGGTGACTCTAAATAGCTATAGCTGATCGCATGGTCTTGTACCGGCGACATATCTATCAAGTGTCTGCCTTATCAACTTTCGATGGTAGTTTATGTGCCTACCATGGTTGTAACGGGTAACGGAGAATAAGGGTTCGACTCCGGAGAGGGAGCCTGAGAAACGGCTACCACATCCAAGGAAGGCAGCAGGCGCGCAAATTACCCAATCTCAGAATGAGGAGGTAGTGACGAAAAATAACGAGACCGTTCTCTATGAGGCCGGTTATCGGAATGGGTACAATTTAAACCTGTTAACGAGGATCTATGAGAGGGCAAGTCTGGTGCCAGCAGCCGCGGTAATTCCAGCTCTCAAAGTGTATATCGTCATTGCTGCGGTTAAAAAGCTCGTAGTTGGATCTGCGTCTTAGAACTTGGTCCATCCAAATGGATGTGAACTAGGATTCTAGACTAAATATTACAAGTTTTCTATATGTTACCTTAATTGGTTGCATATAGTAGCTAGTAAGTTTACCTTGAAAAAATTAGAGTGCTCAATGCGGGCTTAATGCCTGAATACTCGTGCATGGAATAATAAAATAGGATCTTGGTTCTATTTTGTTGGTTTTCTGATCTGAGATAATGGTTAAGAGGGACGGACGGGGCATTCGTATCGCTACGTGAGAGGTGAAATTCTTGGACCGTAGCGAGACGTACAACTGCGAAAGCATTTGCCAAGAATGTCTTCATTAATCAAGAACGAAAGTCAGAGGTTCGAAGGCGATCAGATACCGCCCTAGTTCTGACCGTAAACGATACCAACTAGCGTTCCGTCGGCGGTAAATACGCCTTGACGGGCAGCTTCCCGGAAACGAAAGTTTTCGGTTCCGGGGAAGTATGGTTGCAAAGCTGAAACTTAAAGAAATTGACGGAAGGGCACCACCAGGAGTGGAGCCTGCGGCTTAATTTGACTCAACACGGGAAAACTCACCTGGCCCGGACACCGTGAGGATTGACAGATTGAGTTTTTTAATATATCATTATAGTAGAAATGGACGTTGACCACTTCTTTCTTTCCAACATATCTTCATTTACTTCACATATAAATCTATCATCTATACCAAGATCTTCGGAAAGATTATCGGTTCGAATAATTGTCCTTTCAATTGTCTTCGCACTTGGTCCAGCAAAAACTGTTACTTTATTCTGTAAACCATTTGAAAACGTGTCTTAAAATTTTAAAATTAGAGATAAACATGAAAGAATCTTCTAAACTTCACTATAGAAATATTTATTTTTAGGATGGCTCAAAAAGATAGCTATTTTGTGCTGATTAATTCATTTCATTTCTATTAGTATCTATTTATCTAAATTAATAATTTAAGAAATATTTTCTTTCTTGAATTGCAAAAATAATCATTGATGTTTTTGTTTTTTCTTAATTTGAATAGTGTTATTCCCCTTATTTTTCTTCCATTTGTTAAATTTGCTATTTTCAGCTTTTTTTTCTCTTTTAGAGGGACCAAGACTAATAATTGGGAAAAAACTGATAAATTCGAAGTGAAGTTAAACAGATGTACAGCTTTTTTCGACATTGATAAGTTCGGATGCATAAGCTGGATCAGTTTTGTCCCATTCTATGTCGGAACACAGTGCTAATGATTCGCCAAATTTTGTTTTTCAGCTTTCTGGAATCTAGAATCAATACATCATAACTAAAGGAAAGTTGTTGCAAAATGAAAAAATTTTGCCAACATTTGATAAATATGGAGTTAGAAAACTTGCTCGGTTACGGTAACTTCTTGAAGTTACCTCATAAAGAAATTAGTATAACACTTGGAAAAAAGTAACAAACAAAATAAAATCTGATGAGACAATCCACCTTTTCAGTTGTTTGCTTATTTTACTCTCTTCTTTTTCTTCAATTTTTCTCAAAAATTTCTTCACTCGGTCATATCATCTTTGATAGAACAAAGCACAGCGAAAAGTATAAACTCGAAAATTGAATGTTTTCTTTTATTAACTCGATAATATCTTTCAATTAAATTTCAATTGAATATATATTTGATCAAAATTTGCAAACCACAGAAAAACTGAAAAAAGAAAGCAAAAGTTTTCGAATTGAGCAAAACTTATAGATCTCCAAAGATATTTTTGATTTGCAAGTGGAAAACTATAGCGACCGGTAGATGTGAAAAAAAATGGAATTTTATAGTATGAAATAATGTAAAAAGCTTATGTGACGAAATAAATACAATATAAAATGCAATACAGCGACAGTTGAAAATTTTGTATTTAATCTTAGCAGTTATTTTTAACAATCAATCAAACAACAATCAGTAAAGCATAAAAGATAATATTAGTGCTTATAGTCCTATATATGAAATTATTTTATCTATTAATATAGATGTACTAAAAACATCGTCTGTTGGTATAGTCTCCATACGATAAGGGCCTCTAGCTGATTTCTTGTGTTTCTTTTCATATTTTAGCAAATCATTATTTCGACTGAATTCTTTACCGCATTTGAACTGTTCTTTGCTTATATGTATTTTCTGTGTATACTCATCACGCTGCGTTGTTTGAATTTTTTACCGCATATATCACATTCTAACAGTTTCTCGTTTGAATGAGTCCGAATATGATCATTCAAATTGCAGCGTAGACTAAACTGTTTACCGCATTCATCGCATTTAAACAGTTTCTCGCCTTTATGCATCCGATTATGAGTTTTCAGATTGCTGGAATGACTGAAATTTTTGCCGCATAGATTACACTTCCACGGTTTCTTTCCCGTATGTATTTGTTCATGAATGTTTAGGATACCTCTTTGATTGAATTTTTTACCGCATATACTGCATCCGAAAGGTTTCTCTCCTGTATGTATTCGATTGTGGTTGTTTAGATTGCCGCGATGAATGAATTTTTACCACATATATTGCACTCGAACCGTTTTTCTTTGCACATGTCTGATTATATTCATTTTGATCTAATTGTTTATTCATTTCTGCCTGTATTGATGAATTATTTTCATTTGATATCTGAAATTATGCAAATAATTCATTTCATAATTTTTCCTTAAATTTTTTAGCAGTCTCAATCATCGCAAAAAAATTCTATTGGTATCAATATATGAAGTTAGCGTTATGTTAGAAAGAGAGTGTTTAAACACCAAAACTGATTGTTTCGAGAATGATAAAAAGAATTGATAAATGTACATCGAAAAATTCTATCTTTGCTTAAACGGAAAATTTATGAATATTTAGTTTTCATAATCAAAGCAATAATTTTTTCACTTACTGTTACTTGTGTGATGCATGGTAGTGGTATAGCTACTAGAAAACAATAAAACAACAGCATACTGATTCGATAGCAATTTCCAGATAAATGGTAGTAATTGAAATACAGAGTTTGGCGTAGAATTCTGGAAAATATTTTAGAAAAGTATTTCAAAAATATATAAATCAAATAGAAGTGAAGTGCAGTAGGTGATAAATATGTACTGATTTTGAATGTTATTTAGAGACTGATTTTAAACGTTTCTCTTAATGCACGATCCATGATCAGATGAATTGCAGTACTCTTAATCTTTTGCATAATTATGTGAAGCTTATTTTTTTGTCTAAATATGACAATAAAAACGATTCGTGAAAAAAAAGCGAGCTTGAAAATCTTGATAATCCTGAATACTTGAATGCTGTAAGCGTTTTTGTGAATAATGGAAACTATGTCATAATCGCGTCGAAAATCATATGTTTGTGCAAATTAATGCGAGTGAAATTCATATGACCGTCCCTGTAATGTCAATGTAACTGGCAGATGAATTAAAAAAATATAAAATGAAATTAATCGGATAAATTATTCGTCATCATGAAGCTATTTCTTATGACAAAATATCTGAAATTCGTAAAAGTTAGGTATTTTAAATATAGAAATCTAATTTTATTGAAGCCAATTGAAAATAAAAATTTTAATTTATTCCAGACATTGTCGCCTGTGCAAAATATGAGCATTTATTGCTTTTCCTGTTCAAAATCCACAAATAGAAAATCAATTTTTAATAAATGAAACGTCGTTGTATTCGTTAAAACACGAGGTTTTCTTCCGAATAAATCGATTATTTGGAAATTCCGTTCATAGAAAAACAAAAGATCAATTTTTTCTTTGCGAACTTTGAAAGTATTTATTTTGAATATCACTTTAATCAAGAATATAATATTTATTTAAACAGATCTCACTGATTGTCTAACTTCTTCATAGATCGAAAAATGAATAAACAAAAATAATTGCATTGCATATCTTTTATAGTTTACTATTGAATAATTGGTAATATTTTGTCTATCTGAAGTTTCTAACAGTATTACATTCAATATATAATGCATTATATTCAGAGATTTCCAACAGTAAACTAAACAGCACAGTTTAAATGATCTACGATAGCAATAACGGTGAATAATAAATTCTCATTTACTGTTTTTCAATTAGTACTATGATTTAACTCCACTAGTGAGTGCCCTTTTAATTTACTAATAAAGATTGTGTACATTGTTTGAGATTTTGAAACCCATTTTAATTGTCTGGAATGTTATAAGGACTGTTAATATATTGTTTGAATTATTGTAAGTATTGTCTTTCTATTCTCTATGCTTTACTTGAGAGTTAACTTTAAATATAATAACAATACTGGAAATTACCACCTGAGAATCATTCTTATAAAAGAAACTTGTCGAATCATAAGAACTTCAATTTTATTTTCATCCATACTTTCTACTTTTTGATCTGATCTGGAGCCTCATTTTCATTAATTCGTTCTGTCTTGCTCTGATCGATAGTGACGTTTTCCAACTTATCTTCTATACCCCATCAATCTGATCAATTCCTGACACAATAACTCCCGAATGACTTTCCTTCATCAGAAAATAAATACAAATTATCGATTGTATATCAGTGTTTATCAATCGTTTTGTGTTGTATAGCAATTGCGATGAATGAAGTGTGTTAAAGAATGAATTTTTAACTTTAAAGAAATTCTTTTTATCCTTTTTTTCAAAAATTCAACCCTTCCTAATTTTAAACCATATAAAAATCTACTTTCACGATACTTTTGAAAGTAAATAATATCGAACGGTTACAATGTATGTTCATAGCAATAAAATTCTTTATTAGTGATGAAAGTCCTTAAAAATTTTAGGAAAGATAATCATCAAACCATTTAAATCAATGAATTATTTCGCATAATTTCGGATGTGAGATGAAAAATTCGGATATTCTTTTAATCTGTAATCGCACATTGAGATGCATACAAATGAGAAATCATTCAAATGTAGCCGAAATATTTCAACATGATCGGATACATGCAAACGAGGAACTGTTCAAGTGATGTTGTATTCGATAAAAATTCAATAGCCACAAAATTTGCAAGATTATATTATAAGATATTATAAAATGCTGCAATAAAATTAGTTTTAATTGTTGTTTCCGTATTTTATAATTTATGTTTTTTTACACAAATGCATAATCTTTGCTACGTTTCTTGCAATGAAATAGCGGAAGCATCATATAATATGGTTGAATAGTAGGGAAATCGTCATGTATTTCTTTTTCCGTACCGGATTTTACGAAAATATTCTCAATCATACTTGCAAACTTACGAAAAGTTCGTTGAAACAACTTTTTGTTAATAAGCTGATTTATGACTCTTAAATACGTTATGGTACTTTTTTGAGTTTTTTTTTCTGTATAATATATTTCTCAATTACTAGATAGTGTTGCTAGAGTTTCTTTTTCATTGGTAGATTTTTAAAGTGTTGAGACAATTCTTATACAAGCATTTATTTTTACAATAGGAGGTATATTTTAGTGCGTAACACTAAAATCTATGTTTCTTTTTTTCTGGATTCTAGTGTCAGACTACTTTAATAGAATCTATGAGTCCTATTATCTAGATGCTTGACACTGGAACCTGTTTTTCATATAGTTTTACTATATGAAGTTTGCAGTGAAAACGATGTTAAAGATAGGGTCAACAGCTGATATTTATAGTATCTTATTGCCAAATCAAGCGATCTTCAATTATTATTCAATGAATGATAACTGCGAACAGATTTTAAATGGTACCAATGCTTTTGCTAGAATTTTGGGTTATTTGGATTGACAATGTTAATTTCCATGCATAACATGCATAACTTGCTATTATTTTTTTTGAGGATTTTTTACAATTATTGAATTTGTTGCAGTCGTCGAATCTAATTTTTCTTTACTTTAATCAGCGATTTGTTATATTTAAGATAACGGAA